TATTTTAAGTGTTGATGGAGTTTGTCACTGTATTTCTGTTTCATGACATACTTCTTTGAAGTGACAATAGAGTTTATCATTGTTCTATATATTGAAAAAATAAACTTGTCACTAAATATATATACAAGTAATGACTATTATTATGTTTGTAATCATATCATATATATTGACAAATTTTGACTATGCATTGAAAATAAATTTTGTTTTTTACAAAATTTAATTGTGATGTATTGGTTTGGATTTGTCATCATATATATTTTTTGAAATGACAATACATTTTGTCACTAAATATTTATCTTTTCATGACAACTTATATTGTCATTTTATCTCGATCTTTTGATGACAATCTTTATTTTCGTAATCATAGAGCTAATAATTTCATGACAAAAGAATCCGTCGCTTTTGTATTTATCTTTTCATGAAAACTTATGTTGTCATTATAGCTCAAGCTTTTAATGACAATTTTTATTTTCATAATCATAGAGCTAATAATTTCATGACAAAAGAATCCGTCGTTTTTGTATTTTTTGGAGACAATGAAAATTTCGTCATCCATTCTAGTTTTTTGTGACACTTTTGCTATCTTCATATCTATAGTTTCTTTTCGTGACAATCAAAATTTTGTAATTATAAAATAACCATTATAAAATATGATGATTTTTAAAACAAAACGCCAAAGATATAAGTCACTGCAATTTTATATATTTGATAAAATAATATAATTCGTCACTAAAAAATAATAATTTTTTGTCATTTCAAAAATGTCTTTTTATGACAAAATAATTGTTTACATGACAATATTATTGCCACATAAAATGACCAAATAACATGACTATACTTATAAAACGTCATTTAAATTTAATATCTGGTGATCTTGTACAAATTTTCACCTATCTCTATTATGACATGGCTTCAGTGACGATCTCTGTGACGATAAAATTTCGTTATCAATGTATTATTGTGACAAAAAGAGGGTTTACGTGATGAATTTTATCGTCATGTTTTTCGGTATTTCTTGTAGTGATACCTCTTTGTATAAGTATTATGCACTTTATCAATTATATTTGTATGTCTATCGCATAGTTTATCGCATAATTTTTTATCATTTAGTGGGGGTGGAAAAGTTAACTTGCTATTTTCCTGTGTGAAAAAAAAATTACATCTTTAATCATGGTGAAAATAGCTATTTCCTCAACAATAAAATGCTTATTGTGTAGTCAGTTTAATTTGTTAGTTGTGTCATTTTTCTTTCAAATGAAATATACAATTAAATTAAACTAAAAAAGAGTAACCAACTAGTTATAAGAAACATTTTAATTGTCAAATGACAGAAGAAACAAACAACGGGGGATTTTTTAGCATAAGAACACCCTCCCGCACACTTTGGACTTTTTGTCAATTGCTTCATACTTTCGAATAATCCCGCACACTTTGGACTTCTTTGGTTGTCTGCTCCTTTTTAGCGTGTCCAGACATCGGTCACCAAAAATCTGTGGCGATTTTCCTTTACTTAAACTCTTCTCTTTCGACAAGATGTCTTGCAAAAGGTCCTCGCTCGAAAACACTATACCGAATCTTATAGCGAGTAAACTTCTAAAGTCAGAACTTAACTAGACTACGACTAGAGTTCAAGTCCTTAAATTCGGAGGGTAAATCCTAAGCCCCAAAATCTAAAGTCCAAACAGACAAATACCAAACCGAACTATCTCATACCTTTGAGTTGGTGCGGTACGACGAAGACGAGTGTTCGTTTTTCACAACTTTCGAAAATTTCCAAAATTCCTAACTTTAAACATTTGCAAGTCTAAATAACCATTGACTTGTTTTGATACCACACTGTAACGCCCCGTTATTTTTAAGGTAAAATCTTGAGTTTTCAAAAATAAGAATAAATTTTTCAAAAATAATTATCCAATTTAAAATCGTTTAAAGGGCATTACCTAAACAATATTTGTTCTTAACTCAATTCACTGTTGAACAAATGGAACTTCATTGTACAAATCACATCACCATAATTCAACATGAGATAATAATCCATAATTAACAACGAAAATCTCATAACAAGTTCAACCAGTTCAAAATCTCAAAATCAAACAACATGTGAGGTTTGAAAACGTTAAGCGGAAGGAAATAAAATATAGTTTAAAACAATATAAGCCACTCGTCTCGTCATAGCCATGGCCATCAACTCAACCTGAAAATATTGTAATAATGGGGGGTGAGCAAACAACAAGCTCACCATGGTAATACTATGCGACATATTTCTGATAATAATTGACAACATAATCTCAACATAAACACAAATCATCACATCTACCTCCTACCCTGCCTTATGTTCATATGTACACACTCTTGCACGGAACCCAATTAATCGGTATGCCATACGCTTTCCTTAAGGAACTATGGGGGAGCTGTCGACACAACCATTCCGATAGGAAAAACACTTCACACGTATACATTGATTATGGAATCACACAATTATAAGAAATAAAAGCATAGTAAGGTTTACTAACACCCACCTGTTCGGATACGACATAAAGGTGCAACTACGACTCGGTAGGTTTGAGGCTCGACTCCTCAGGTACCGAGTTACTCCCTTGGCTAGGCTCGCCTATAGGACGTGGCTCCTCTTCTGATAGCTCAGATTCTGACTACGATGGCGTCACACTTTGCATACCAAGACGAGCTACCACGTCGTAGAAGATAACTCGTGGGGTTCCTTCAGCTCGTGGGACTCCTTCATTCTCTCTCCTGAGTTCGTCGCATATCTTTTCAGTTATCTTCTTCCAAGGCGACTTCCTTGAGTTTCTCAATGTCATTCTCATGCGCGATAGTATGTATGCCATCGCATCTTTCATAATTCTTCCTAACGTTCGAGAATTTCTTAAGTGCTTTTCCCAAAACCGAACAGTCGTTTCGGTTTGAACTCCTCGAATTCTTTGACCTTCTTTAGCATAATATCGTTGGGCTTTAGGCTCTACTTCTTGCAAGTCTTACCCATCTCGAGTACGGGCTTTAGGCTCGACTTCTTGCAAGTCTTACCCATCTCGAGCACCGGTAATGTCCGTGGCTGTTGGATTCCTCGACGACGGATACGCGTGCCGCGTGGTTTCGGGGAGTGCGGCTGCCAGATCGTATTTGGACAACTCCTCGGGCGGCTTCTCGCTTGGCCTCTGCGTCAAATGGCACGGATAAGGCCTCAGTATGGACCTCGAACGTGCTCGTGGATGGAGGCTCCTCGTACGGTGGCTGTTGCGCGACTTCGACGACGACAGCGACAAGGTGCGGCTGCGGCTGTGGCGGAGTTGCTCGTTGTTGAGGCCCGACGATGGCAGAGATCGGCAAGTCGTGAAAACTCGCGAACGGGGAGGAGGGCTCGCCGTCTTGGTGCCCGATTTCTGATCGGGGCTCGCGGACGGAAGGACCGCGGGTGGGTTTTGCTTCTCACATGCGTTCGGCGTCGTCGACAGGTGGCCGAGGACGCGTGCGATCTGGTGAGCTCGGCGGTTGGAGGCGAGCTGCCCGCGGTACAGCTGGGAGGTGCACTGCTCGCGGCCGAGAAGGTGGATGGTTAGCCGATTTTGGTATTTCATGTGTGATCCTACGCCTCTTCTTTGTGATAGTACTCGAGCAATCCAAATTGTCAATGATCTAGAAAAGCATGAACTTGCAAAATACATTGGTGTTGATGCTTCTTTTCACCCGGTCTCACTGTCATTGTTCTTCAATATGTGCCGTCAGAGTTGCAAGTGGCTCATTTTTTCACCAAAGCACCAACTAGAGAACAGCATCGGCTTCACTTGCTCAAACTCAATGCTTCGAATCCTCCACGTCCACCTTGAGTTTGAAGGGAGTGTTAACTAAATTATAGTCAGCCCATATATACTTAAGGCCCTAAGTCTATATATGGCCATCTTGAGATGTGAATCATTCATTAGTCCAAAACCTAAGGTTCATAACAATTACTACCCAAATTGTAGGTATTATCCCATCCAATCCCATAAAACAATTGAGACCCTAAGATTAGTGACTGCTTGACCCATGCACTTTGTTCTCTTTAATTCATTGTTGATATTTATTGGTTACATCAAATAGTACTCTATGCCACTGGATAGATTCGACCGGTTTATGGAGGGGATTGATTATTGCATATATGTTGGATTTGAAGGAATATCTTCCAGCACCATATACTTCGACAGCCATTCTTTACAACGAGCGGATAAGGTTGTTCAAACAAACCATAAAATGCATGAATGTGATTTGTGGACTGTGATCATCTTCAGTGTCTACTTTCTTGCATGGGGAGCTTACAAAATAGGCTTGATCAAATGCCATTTTACATCTTAGGCAGCATCTTACAATCTTTTTTTTTTTTTTTTGCATGCTTATTCCATCCTTTAGTTGGTGGTTTTTCGCATATGCATGGGCATAAAGCGCATGTACTTTATGTGGATGCACCCCACTAACTTTACCTAAAGATTCTGTTCATCTTAAATTTTATCTTCACCTCCAAAAGAATTGAAAATTTTACCATGTTTGTGGATTGAACCCGTGTTTTTATGAACCCATCTGACTCAGGCAAAAAAGGGTGAAAACTTGTGACCCGGTTTAATGTTGTGATTCGGGTCAATTTCTTGTCTTTTTTTTTTTAATTAGACCCGGTAAAACTTAGTCATTCACATAAGAATTATAAATTTTATGTTGTTCACTTATTTGTCTATTAATATATGTGTGGGCCAATTTTTTTTTTTTTTTTTTTTTTCGAAACGGTTCAACCGATTTAACCACTGACCAATAAAACTTGATCATATGTCCAGTTGGGGGATAATTTAACTCATTTCGAAAAGTAAGACTTTTCCACATTAATTACATACGCGTCACATCGCAATTATTTATTGTGACAAGAAAAAAGAAGCGAATGTCACGTAATTTTGTAACAATTGGTTTTTTTATTCGTCTATTTTGTAGCTTGTAGGGGGAAAAAAGGCTTGTTGGTTTCTCTAGGCTCTGCGGCCTCCCGTGCCATTTTCTCGATTGCAGTTATAGTACACAGCTGCTACAGGTGAGCCAAGGCCATGGAGCCGAGTAAATTCTATGGTGTTGAAATTTGTTCGCCTATTTGGCGGGTCCGTTGACAGTTGTCCGACTTGTTTGAACAATGCCAAAACGAGCCTATGGATGCCCATCGATGGTCGAGGGCTCTCGTAACTCACAACTTCATTCCCTGCACAAATAGCTTTGTGTGATTTATGGTACTACTATGTAATTGTTTTCTAACTATCTTTGTTTTTTTTTTCTTTTATATACTTTTTTATGTGCTCTGTATGAATCTATCAAAAAATTGGATATATAAGTTTTAATTATATCATCTCTAACTGATCTTTTCATTACAGAATCTGGTCCTCGCGGAAAACTATAATTATTTGGATCCCTTCCACTACATTTAGAGTGTGAAGTTATAAATTTTCTCACCAAAGCCTAGTCCAGTGTTTCCAGGTATGTTCGTGACCAACCTGCATATACCGTTGATTCAAACACATTAGAAAAAAAGTACATTATTAGAGGCAAATATATTAATCACGAGCTTAACTACATGCACTTTATTGAACTGTGTTTTTTCTCCGAATGAGATTTGATTTCCTGCTCCGTTCCATTTTGTGTTCTACTCTGATGGATGAATGACACGTGTAAAAGATGATGTCATATTTGTACACGTGTCAATCATCCAACGTAATGCAACATCAAATGGAATATGAAAGTAGAACAGGAAATATATACTCCTTTTTCACAGCCAATAAATTATATGGACAGATATTGGTGTATAAACTAAGATTCGAAATGGAACATGAAAGTAGAACAGAAAATCTAAACCCGTTTATCACACCCAATAAATCATATGAGCAAATATGGACAAATATTAGTATATATATTATGATTCGAAATGGAACATGAAAGTAGAACATGAAATAAACTCGTTTTTCACACCCAATAAATTATATGGACAAATATTAGTATATATATTAAGATTAAGTAATAAAGATGATGTATATTCTCAGTGTCCAACTAAGATAGAGGGGAGGAATCTTGAAAATATATATATACATGATATTTGTATGTTACTCAAGATCAAGAAAGAGAGAGATAGACCAGTGTAAGTACTCCTTCAATTGTGGGTTGCTAGGACTTGGAGCATCAGCATCCACCATAACCTGCCCAAATCAATCAATAAATAAATAAATAAGAAAACCAACAAAAAAAAAAAAATAAACAGATTGAATTTTCGAAAACAAAATTGTATTCTCAAATTTTTATTTTTTTTTTTAAGAATTTGGGCGTAATCAAGAACAAATAAACTTGCAACGCGAGCACAATCAGTTCTGCTATCAAATGTGCCCACAATGGATTAGTGATCATAGATTCATAGTACATAAACATGAAAAGTAAGCAATTCAACTACTTACTAGAGTATAAAAAGTGCCAATATCGGTATCACCAATCTCAATCCTAGGCCGGCTCGCCACTTGTGATGGTCGTAAGCTACTTCCATTGTATATAATTCTACCGTTTTCACTAAAAACTCGGAGCTCAACTGTGGCTGTAAATGGTGGCAAAACGTCCCCAACCACGCGGCTAACCACCAAAGGGTGTCGTTCTATTGCCATGGTCTACAATTACGGTTGCGTAAACCTAACTAAAAAGAGGAAAAGAAAATAAAGATGAAACAAAGCCACAAAATTTGGAGATCAATGATATATATGCCTTGTAGTTTATGACTTTATGCTTCTTGGTATTGTATATATGTTGGTGCATATTGATATGTGACTTATGATGAAGTGTACTACTATTTATAGTAGATATTTTGTTGGGAACCTTTTCCCAAATTTCAAGTGTACCAATGTACCAATGTCTATATATACATATATATATATATATATATATATATATATATATATATATATATATATATATTTCTTGTTTATTCAACCTTATGACCTAAATACTAGCTAGTCTAAAAAGGCTTTTGTTTTGTGGACCATCATATGATATTCCTATATTCTCAGTCCCACCATTTACTTTCACTTCACTCATTTTCCTTACAACTGGGGAAAAAAACTGTTAAGGATTTAGTTTAACTAATTAATTTGGAGGGAATTTATGATTGAAAAATTGTACTTGTAAATAATAAGATGAATTAATGAGATATGGAATTGGGAAAAGATTTCTTGTCCCACAATTTGTATTCCAGTTTCATGTTTTATTTATTTGGACGAATGACACATGTAGAATAATGACAGCATCATAGACACGTGTCATTCATTCAGTTGAATGAAATGAGTTAGACTTGGAACATGAAATTTTTAACGATTTAACTTTGTACTCAATATGGAATTCAATTTTCAAACAGATATCTCAATTCACAAATTCTTGTATTGGTCGACGTAACCACGGTCAAGTGGGTTGATGAATTATATTCTTTTTAATAAAAATACATATATTTATGATATGAAGTGTCATATTTTTATTTATTAATGATTTTCAAAGTACAAAATTTCAGTTTTAAAATATGTATATGTGTTGAAAAATATGATCGTCTAATCAGTGCGTCTACTAATGGTTTCATGTTTTTAGCATGTGATCTTTATTGAATTCTTATTTATTCATATTCACTTTTTTTTTTTTTTTTTT